TCCTCTCCAGGCATCTTTTTTTCCCTCCTCTTTATTTATTCTCTGTGTCTTTCACGTCATGTTCCTGCATCCCATTCCTTTCCCTGCCCCTTCGTGTCCACCCCCTGCCCTTCAGGCCTCTTTCTTACAGGTCCCCAGTTAGCCTCACCCCTACTATTTCTGCGGTCCCCGATAACTGTGCGTAGCAGGGTCCCCAGGCAGCAGGCTATAGCCACATCATGCTGTGCACAGCCCTCCACACCCAAGGGCCTGTGGGTCACCGTGTGCCCCCCAAACCAGAGGAGAGCCTGGCACACCCACACTGGCACCATTTCGGCTGTTCCCTGACTTCCCCAAGTTACTTACCAACTGAACAAGGCTTCTGGGACCAGATGAAGAAGGCAATGCCCGTGATGATGCCCAGAAGCCCCAGGCCGAAGGCTAAACCACACAACACATTCTCGAGGAGGTCTGAAGGCAGGGCGTTCTGGGGTACTAGAGCACAAGGGTGAGGTCAGCCTGGAGGCCAGGCTGGGGGGCACCCTCCCGGGGGACTGGGGAAAAAATGAGGGGAAACTTGAAGTTGGCTAGAGTGAGAGTAAACAAGAGGCCCCTCCCGTGGGCTTGAGCCTTCCCACCCCCAAAGGACCTGACTTCCAGGGCCAAGGCGCCTCACCCCAGTGGGCAATTGGTGTGTAGCTGTCAATCTCATGTGTCACGACACAGGAGTAAATGTCAAACGGCTCCGGTGTGAAGTTTAAGTAAGAGAAAGCCTGGAAGGTGAGCCCATCGATGGCTGAGATGTACGTGGGGCTGGCCCCCTCCACAGGGACGAAGTGATGCTGCCAGCTCACGGTCAAGGTCGGCGGAAAGAGATTGCTGATGAAGCAGACCAGCGTGTTGGGCTTGCCAAACTCCAGGGGCTTCAGTGTGAACACCTCAGGCACAGGCAAACCTGGTGGGGGGCAGGTGCCAGAAAAAGAGGGGAGACGTTTGGACAGTGCCACTGTTTGGAGAGAGTTGAGAAACATGGAGGGGGGAGAGATGGAGTCAAGACAGAGATGAGGAAATCTGGGCCTCCAAGAAGAGACTTCCTGGCAGGAACTGCAGCTAGGACACTGTGGATCCCTCTGCCTGACTTCCTGTCTGTAGCCAGGTTGACTTCCTGTCTGTAGCAAGGTAGCATTCAACACTGACTTCTTGTGAAGCTTGCCCCTGGATCCCTCCTTTCTCTCCTCCATTTTGCTGGGATGGTAAAGAGAATGCTGGCATTCACTCAGTGCTGCCAACTGGTCCCCGTAACTTCAGTAGATTTTCAATCTTTCCACTGCCTCCTTCCCACAGCAGACAGCGCACAGACTGTAGCTGGTGGGGAGAAGTGTTGGGGCAGAAAAGAAAACCCCCAAGCACAACGAGGAGGTGTGAAAGATGAGAGACGGGGAGTAAGACTGCACCCTCCCACCCCTCTCTTTGTTCCTGACCTCTGGACACTGGGATTAACCCTTCCAACTGTGGGCCAATCTCCTGAATTAACATGTTGCAGAACTCTTTGTCAAATGAAATGGCAGAGGCGTCTCCCTGTTCCTGAGCCCAGTCGGCAAAGTCGGGCAGACGGGGTACCCGGGTGTTCTGGGAGAAGTCATAGAAGAGCTGATCTTCGTCGTAGGACTCGGAGAGCCCTATGCTGGGATTCCCATCCTGGCAGAACACGGTGTGCCGAAACGTGTGGTTTTGCAGGCCTTCCCACAACACTGGAGCAGGGGCTGCAACGACACGGTGAATTGGGGATCTCTCTTTAAGGTAGAAAACAGTACAAGGTCTCCATTTTGGGGATGCAGTGGCCTCACCCCTCCTGCACCTGAGTCTGAGGTTCCTCCTCCCACTGGAGCAGAGGGAGAAGAAATGAAGGAATCGTCCAAATCTTACACATAGAAAAGCAACTGTCTACTCCTGGAAAGAGCAGAGGCAGGCAAGGTGACATCTGTGGTGCCAGTACTTGGGAGGGTATGGGAGGGGCATCAAGGGTCCAAACTCAGTCTCACTACATATAGCCAGCCTAGGGTCATGAGTATGCCTCGGAAAACCAAACACACACACACACACACACACACACACACACACACAAAAAAAAAAAAAAAAAAAAAAAAAAAAAAAAGGAAAGCAAGAGTCTGTGGGAGGAAGGAAGCAGCAGATGCAGCGGTTCTGCTGTTAATTCCCCGAATTGCTCTAAGGCACGGCCGCAGCCAACCTGAACTCCTACCAAGCCCAGGACCCCAGCACACAGGTCGCCTTGGGTGTGACTCCTGCCTTGAGAGTTGTGGGGAAGGGCCTCCTTAGGCTACCGCGTCACAAGTGTAAATAAAGTAAGGCAGTTTCTGGACCTCCTCTCCACTTCAGGGCCAGCTGGCCTCTCTGGTGGCCTCTTCCCGGACTAAACACTCCAGGTGCACTGACAGAACCGGGGGACCTCAACCTCTTGGCCGCAGGGAAGAACAATCTTTGAAACTCCTGACAGGGATCCCCCGGACAGAAGGAACCTTTGCAAGGAACACTCAGCAGAACAACAGACACTGTGAGGGGACCTTCCAGATGGCTTACACCCTGCCCCAACTGTACCTGAGAAGACACTAAGAGGCTTGTCAAGAACGACAGACTAGGGTAGGACACCGACTGGAGGAATGCCAATCGCTGTGCAGACGTCTGAGACCGGGTCTTGCTCTGCGCCTGAGGCTGGCGGTGGACTCTCGGTCACCCGCCCATGCTTCCCTAAGTGCTGGGATTACAGTCCTGCGCCGCCACACTAGGCTTTAACCCCTCTGACATTTCCCCACGTTGTGAATTTGAACAGGTCTCCTAAGCCAGCCTCGTCTGCCTTCTTCATCTGAAAAGTCGCCAGCACGCAGACAGAGCGTGTGGGATACCTGGGTTGCTTGCCATCCGTGATCAGCACCCCTCTCCCCCAAGTCTGTCGCTGTCCTCGGGACGCACGCAGGGAGAAGCACCTCTCTCCCCCAAGTCTGTCACTGCCCTCGGGACGCACGCAGAGGGGAGCCCGCGTCTTACCTCCTCCGGGCACCGCCCAGCAGCGGGGCAGCAGACACAGGAGCTGCAGCAGGTGCAGCAGCCCGGCTCCTGGCTTCTGCTCTTGGTCCATTCCTTCACACCCTCCGTAAGTGGGAGCTACCACCGAGCCCAGGGTTCCCAGCTTCCTCCCGGATCCACATCAGGGCTCCACAGAGCATCCCCAATAGCCGCCTGTCTCATTTCGGCTAACCCAATCACAGAAGCGTAGCATTCAGCATCATCAGTCGCTGAGGAAAGAGAGACCTGGGGCCAGCCACCTCTTGAAGACTTGACTCTGAGGTCAGCCGGGTGGAGGCGGCTGGGCCAGGAAGGGCGGCCCTGGACACCTCCGCCTCCTGGTGGAAGATACAGCTCCAGCAGCAGGTGGCTGCCTGGCTCTTCAGAGCAGCGCCGCCTGGCCGCAGAACTCCGAATCGCACTGAACACGGGCCTACAAATTCCAGCGGGCCTCTCATATTAGGGGGCATCTTCCATAGGTCAGTACTTGGAATCAACGTCAGCCTGCAAATATCCAGTAGAAAATTCCGAAAACAATAATTCTGGGGGAAAGATATTTTGCTGTGTTGTCTGGGGTGGCCTAGAACTCACTCTGTATCCGAGGATGACCTTGAACTTATAATCAGTCAGCTTTCACCTCCCCAGTGCTGGGATCACAGGCAAGCACCGTCATATCTGGTTTATTCCGTGCTGGGGACTGAACCCAAGGCTTTGCAAGTGTCGCTGAAACAGGGTCTCAGTCTGCAGCCCAGGCTAGCCTGGAATTCTCTGTGATCCTCAAGCCTCAGCAACCACAGTGCCAGGATTGCTGGTAAACACCATTGTCCCTGATTCATTTGGTGCTGGGATTGAACACAGGGCTTGAAGAGGGCACACGTGGTCTCACTGTGTAGCCCAGGCTGGCCTCGAATTCTTTGACCCTCCTGCCTCACCTTTCTGAGTGCTGAGGCTGCAAGTGTGGCCCCCACACCCAGAATGACAAGTGTTGAGTTTTGCACTGTTCTGAGCCTCCTGTGAGAGCTCATCCTACCTCACTCCATCCTGCCCCAGGGGTGGATGGTTTGCCCGGGCTGTCCGGTGTAGTCACTGAGCTACTTATGGGTTAGATTACCACTTCATGAGTGCCTGTGTCCTAATGACCCTTGTTTTAACTAAGAATGGCCCCAAAGGGCAACAAAGGAGGAGACTTGTAAACACCAAAGGTCAAAGGTCAAGCTTTAAAAGGCTTCCATTTAAGTGCAAAGGTGAGGACTGTCGCTTAGGAAAGAAAGGGGAAAGTGGTGTGCGTGTGTGTGTGTGTGTGTGTGTGTGTGTGTGTGTGAGAGAGAGAGAGAGAGAGAGAGAGAGAGAGAGAGAGAGGGGCAGGGGGGAGAGAGAGAGAACATGCATGCACCTGTGTGTGCCTGAACACATGCTATGACATATATGTGGAGATCAAAGAACAACTTTCATGAGTTTGTTCTCTCCTTGGGCTCCAGGAACTAAACAGGTCACAAGCTTTCCCCAGCATGCATTAGACCTGCTGAGCCATCTTGCTGGCCCCTCTCTTAACTTTAATAATAACATGTCACTATGGAGTTCTATCTTATTACTATTACTGAATAAGCTATATTTTATACATGAAAAAGCACTGTTCATGTGCACACAGATACAATGTGTGTTGGTTCCTTGCACTGCTTGTGTGCACACATATACGTGTGTGTGTGTGTGTGTGTGTGTGTGTGTGTGTGTGTGTGTGTTCCTTTTCTTGTTGCTGTGGTCACACAACTGGCGTGCAGTGGCTTCAGGAGGAAGGGTTTGTCTTGGTTTAGGGTTTGTGGGGAGACAGTCTGTCGTGGTGGGGAAGGTATGGTGGCAGTAGCATGAGGCCATTGGTCACATGAATCAGATCAGGAAACAGAGAGCTGCCTAATGTTCAGAGTGGTGCTGCCTGCTGGCAGAGCACTGTGATGGGTCGAATCTTCTATTGCCTCTCAGACCCCATGTCTTCCTCTGAGATGCCAGGAAGGTCTTTCTCCCTTTTGTTCAATCTGGGACCCCAGCCTACAGGCTAGCGCAGCTCATAGTTAGAGCAGGTCGTCCCTCCTGACTTAAACCTTTCTGGAAACACCCTCACAGATACACCCAGCAGTGTGTTTCCATGGTGACCTTTCTGGAAACACCCTCACAGATACACCCAGCAGTGTGTTTCCATGGTGACCTCCCTGGGAACACCCTCACAGGGACACTCAGCATCACATTTCCATGGTGATTCTAAATTCAGTCATGTTGACGATAAGATTAAACTACCAATGGCAGCAGCAAGTGCCAGGGAGCCCAGGTCTACACCCAGAGCCAGGCCATCCATGGGGTGGCTCCGGTCCATACAGGTCTTCAGACATAAGAAGACAGCGGAACTAGGGCCCAATGCAAATGGGGAAACAGCTTCACCAAGATGAACAGGCATCCCCTATTGGTGATGGAGCCGCACACGCTGAAACACAAGCTGCTGGAGCCAGGCTGCTCGGGGACAAAGAACAGCTTGCTGGTGTGGACATCCAGGTCCACTGGAAGGGTGGTGGCCACATGGTACAGTTTCATGCTCTTCAACAGCCCATCTCCAGTGCTCTGGTGGCCTAATACCAGAAACATGTGGACGAGGCTTTGAAAAAGGAGATCAAAGATCCTTGGGGTGGAGGGAAGGCTCAGGCAATAATAGCAGCAGCCGTTCTTCTAAAGGCCTGGGCTCAATTCCCAGCACCCACGTAGTGGCTCACAGTTATCTATAACTCCAGTTCCAGGGGATCTGATGCCCTCTTCTGGCCTCCACAGGCACCAAGCATATACACGGTGCACAGACATACATGCAGGAAAAACACTCACACACAAAGTTTTAAAAACATTTACAAAAGACATCCTCACCTGGATGGCAGGACCCTGTTAGTAGCCAAACTGTCCCTGCAAAGCCAAAGAGTCTGGAGGTCCTGGTGCCCATGCTCACCACTAGAAATCCTGCTGATAGGCCCACCCTGAACACAGTAGCTGTGTGATACACACTTCGGGATTTTGACATTCTCAGGGGAATTAACCACCTCAATAAACGTGTGTGTGTGTATGTGTGTGTGTGTGTGTGTGTGTGTGTGTGTGTGTGTGTGTGTACTGCCTGTTGATTTAGGCATTTGCAGAGGTGTTGAAATGGATCCCTCATGAGTACCACCATCTTGAACATGTGTGGAAGGCTTGGTCCCAAGCTGATGGTCCTCTTGGGAGGCAGTAGGGACATTAGAAGGTAGGGCTAGTTGGAAGACATGATGACCTGACAGACTTATTGCCACCCCCTCCCTCAGCCACTCTGTGGTACCACTCACTTCCTGTCTTGCCACAGACTCAGATGATGGGGCCAAGGGACTGTGAACCAAAACTAGGAGCCAAAGTAAATCTTCTTTTTAAGTGATCTCATTTTGTCACGATGATGACAAATTCCTATCTTTAGGAGCTAAAGGACCAAGGACTAACTACAGATGCAAGGTGTTTACATGAAAGTGTGCCAAAGGGCTACGGGTGATGCTTAGGGGGAAGACCCTTGCCTGGCATGCCCGAGGCCGTGGCTTTGATTCCCTGAACTACAGAACAAGAATGTGTCAAGACTTTAGGAGGTTTTATGAGGCAGGGGGAATAAAGAGGGCACGGGACTGTCAACTTGATACTTGGAATCACCGTGGAAACAGACTTCTACATGTGTCCATGAGGGAGTTTCCAGGTTGACTTAACTGAGATGAGGAGGCTCCCTAAGTATGGCTGGGCTCATGCATGATGCTGGCTACGGGGTCCTGCCCTGAATAAAAGGAGGATAGGGCTGAACGTCAATGTTCCCATCTGTTTCTTGACTCCATGCACACAGCAGCCAGCTGCTCCTGAAGCCATAACTTCCCCCCACACACACACATAATGGGCTGTCCCCTCAGGCTGAGCCAAAGCAAGCCCTGCCTTCCTTCCTTCCTTAAGTAGCTTGTGTTAGGCATTTTATCACAGCAGTAAGAAAAGCACCTGACATAAGAGACCGGAAGGAAACCCAATCTGACCAGAATGTGAGAGAAGAGAAAAGCATTCCAGGGCAAGGGTGAGCAGGTGTGTGAAGGGCAAAGGCCTCTGTGACGCTGACAGGACAGCGTGCAAAGGTGCCCACAGGTCCCTAGGGTGATGAGGCACATTGTGACACACTAGAAACCCAGGCACGAGCTGGCCACATAGGCCCGGACACAGCACAAGGAGAGGCTGGCCGACTCAGCCGGCAACGCTCATGTCAACACTGGGGAACACGCTGGGGATGGATGTAACTCGAGGGTGAAGTACTTGCTTAGCACGTGCAGGCGCTGAGCTCAGTGCCCAGTGCGGCAAGATAGACGGATGGATGGACAGACAGACAGAGAGACAGATAGGAAAACAAAAACACAGGACATGACACAAAATAACATTATTATTGATTATTATTTTGAGAGAAAGTCTCACTGTGTGGCCTTGGCTGGCCTGGAATTCACTATGTAGACCAGGCTGGTTTCGAACCCATAGAAATCTACCTGCCTCTGACTCCCAGAGTGCTGGGATTAAAGGCGTGTGCCACCACAACCAGCCAAATTCAGCATTTTTGAGTGATTGTTATAGACACCGACCAAGTATCTCTAGCTCTAGAGTGAAGCTGTTAATGCAACCTTCCTATCGCCCAGCTTAGGGAATGAGAAGGTCCCGTCTGAGGTTGTAATCGAAGGAAACCGGCTGGGACACTGAGATAACAAGGAGTTGGATCTGAAGGGTTTGGCTACTGAGTACTCACAGGACGATGAAGAAGCCAGGCTCAGTGGTGCATACCTGTAATCCCAGCCACATGGTAGCCCGGAGTACAAGACTGCAAGTTCAAGGTGGGGGTACAGAGTGAGTTCAAGGCCAGCTTGAGAAACTCATTGACAACTTGGTGGGGAAGGCTATAGTTCAGTGGTAAAGCACTTGTCTAGAGTGTGTGAGGCCCTGGGTTAAGGGAGGGAAGGGGGAGGGAAGGGGGAGGAAGACAGAGAGGAAGAGGAGGAGGGGGCAAAGAAAATAAATATGATTTTAAGTGTGTTAAATTTAAGGTGTTATTGAACAGTCCCCAAGGAGGCGGTGAGGTGGGTGGAGGTGGCGCCCAGGTGTGGATGGTGAGGGTGATTTGTGGAGCTGTGAGCACACAGGACGGAGAAAGCAGAGAGTCAGATCACCAAGTAGACTGTGTAGAAGGTGAACGAGGTAA